GTGAGCAATTATTAGCGCATATTCATTAATCTGATCGGTGTAGGTAAAAACAATTTTGTATTTTAAATTATTAATAAATAATTAAATAATTTATAAATAGTGTGAGCATTTGCGGATTTAAATTAAGCATTTTGTGAGCAATTATGGGCAGTTATTCATTTAAAAAAAAGTTTATTGGTTTTATGTATAATAGACAAAAAAAATTCTGTATTTTAAATTATTAATAACTATTTAAATAATAAATTAATAATGGGAGTAATTACAGATTTGAATTGAGCATTTAGTGATCAATTATTAGCGCATATTCATTAATCTGATCGGTGTAGGTAAAAACAATTTTGTATTTTAAATTATTAATAAATAATTAAATTATTTATAAATAGTGTGAGCATGTGCGGATTTAAATTAAGCATTTTGTGAGCAATTATGGGCAGTTATTCATTTAAAAAAAAGTTTATTGGTTTTATGTATAATAGACAAAAAAAATTCTGTATTTTAAATTATTAATAACTATTTAAATAATAAATTAATAATGTGAGCAATTGCAGATTTGAATTGAGCATTTAGTGAGCAATTATGAGCACTTATTCATTAATCTGAATGGTTTAGGAAAAAACAATTTTGTATATTAAATTTTTAAAAAGTAATTAAATAATTATTTAATAGTGTGAACAATTGCGGATTTCAATCAAGCATTTTGTGAGCAATTATGAGCACTTATTCATTTTTAAATTGGTTTATTGGTTTTAAGTATAATAGACAAAAACAATTCTGTATTTTAAATTATTAATAACTAATTAAATAATTAATTCATAGTGTGAGCAATTGCAGATTTGAATTGAGCATTTAGTGAGCAATTATTGGCAGTTATTCATTTAAAAAAAAGTTTATTGATTTTAAGTATAATAGACAAAAACTATTCTGTATTTTAAATTATTAATAACTATTTAAATTATGTATTAATAGTGTGAGCAATTGCAGATTTGAATTGAGCATTTAGTGAGCAATTATTAGCGCATATTCATTAATCTGATCGGTGTAGGTAAAAACAATTTTGTATTTTAAATTATTAATAAATAATTAAATAATTTATTAATAGTGTGAGCATTTGCAGATTTAAATTAAGCATTTTGTGAGCAATTATGGGCAGTTATTCATTTAAAAAAAAGTTTATTGGTTTTAAGTATAATAGACAAAAAATTCTGTATTTTAAATTATTAATAACTATTTAAATAATAAATTAATAATGTTAGCAATTGCAGATTTGAATTGAGCATTTAGTGAGCAATTATAAGCGCATATTCATTAATCTGATCGGTGAAAAAAAAACCATTTTGTATTTTAAATTATTAATAAATAATTAAATAATTTTTTAATAGTGTGAGCATTTGCGGATTTCAATTAAGCATATTGTGAGAAATTATGCGCACTTATTCCTTTTAAAATTGGTTTATTGGTTTTAAGTATAATAGACAAAAACAATTCTGTATTTTAAATTATTAATAACTAATTAAATAATTAATTAATAGTGTGAGCAATTGCAGATTTGAATTGAGCATTTAGTGAGCAATTATGAGCACTTATTCATTAATCTGAATGGTTTAGGAAAAAACAATTTTGTATTTTTAATTTTTAAGCAATAATTAAATAATTATTTAATAGTGTGAACAATTGCGGATTTCAATTAAGCATTTTGTGAGCAATTATGAGCACTTATTCATTTTTAAATTTGTTTATTGGTTTTAAGTATAATAGACAAAAACCATTCTGTATTTTAAATTATTTATAAATAATTAAATAATTTATTAATAGTGTGAGCATTTGCGGATTTATATTAAGCATTTGGGAACAATTATGGGCAGTTATTCATTTAAAAAAAAGTTTATTGGTTTTAAGTATAATAGACAAAAACAGTTCTGTATTTTAAATTATTAATAACTAATTAAATAATTAATTAGTAGTGTGAGCAATTGCAGATTTAAGTTGAACATTTTGTGAGCAATTATGAGCACTTATTCATTTTTAAATTTGTTTATTGGTTTTAAGTATAATAAACAAAAACCATTCTGTATTTTAAATTATTAATAAATAATTAAATAATTTATTAATAGTGTGAGCATTTGCGGATTTCAATTAAGCATTATGTGAGCAATCATGAGCACTTATTCATATTAAAATTGGTTTATTGGTTTTAAGTATAATAGACAAAAACAATTCTGTATTTTAAATTATTAATAACTAATTAAATAATTAATTAATAGTGTGAGCAATTGCAGATTTGAATTGAGCATTTAGTGAGCAATTATTGGCAGTTATTTATTTAAAAAAAGTTTATTGATTTTAAGTAGAATAGACAAAAAAATCTGTATTTTAAATTATTAATAACTATTTAAATAATTTATTAATAGTGTGAGTAATTACAGATTTGAATTGAGCATTTAGTGAGCAATTATTAGCGCATATTCATTAATCTGATCGGTGTAGGTAAAAACAATTTTGTATTTTAAATTATTAATAAATAATTAAATAATTTATAAATAGTGTGAGCATTTGCGGATTTAAATTAAGCATTTTGTGAGCAATTATGGGCAGTTATTCATTTAAAAAAAAGTTTATTGGTTTTATGTATAATAGACAAAAAAAATTCTGTATTTTAAATTATTAATAACTATTTAAATAATAAATTAATAATGGGAGTAATTACAGATTTGAATTGAGCATTTAGTGATCAATTATTAGCGCATATTCATTAATCTGATCGGTGTAGGTAAAAACAATTTTGTATTTTAAATTATTAATAAATAATTAAATTATTTATAAATAGTGTGAGCATGTGCGGATTTAAATTAAGCATTTTGTGAGCAATTATGGGCAGTTATTCATTTAAAAAAAAGTTTATTGGTTTTATGTATAATAGACAAAAAAAATTCTGTATTTTAAATTATTAATAACTATTTAAATAATAAATTAATAATGTGAGCAATTGCAGATTTGAATTGAGCATTTATTGAGCAATTATGAGCACTTATTCATTAATCTGAATGGTTTAGGAAAAAACAATTTTGTATATTAAATTTTTAAAAAGTAATTAAATAATTATTTAATAGTGTGAACAATTGCGGATTTCAATCAAGCATTTTGTGAGCAATTATGAGCACTTATTCATTTTTAAATTGGTTTATTGGTTTTAAGTATAATAGACAAAAACAATTCTGTATTTTAAATTATTAATAACTAATTAAATAATTAATTCATAGTGTGAGCAATTGCAGATTTGAATTGAGCATTTAGTGAGCAATTATTGGCAGTTATTCATTTAAAAAAAAGTTTATTGATTTTAAGTATAATAGACAAAAACTATTCTGTATTTTAAATTATTAATAACTATTTAAATTATGTATTAATAGTGTGAGCAATTGCAGATTTGAATTGAGCATTTAGTGAGCAATTATTAGCGCATATTCATTAATCTGATCGGTGTAGGTAAAAACAATTTTGTATTTTAAATTATTAATAAATAATTAAATAATTTATTAATAGTGTGAGCATTTGCAGATTTAAATTAAGCATTTTGTGAGCAATTATGGGCATTTATTCATTTAAAAAAAAGTTTATTGGTTTTATGTATAATAGACAAAAAAAATTCTGTATTTTAAATTATTAATAACGATTTAAATAATAAATTAATAATGTGAGCAATTGCAGATTTGAATTGAGCATTTAGTGAGCAATTATGAGCACTTATTCATTAATCTGAATGGTTTAGGAAAAAACAATTTTGTATTTTAAATTTTTAATAAGTAATTAAATAATTATTTAATAGTGTGAACAATTGCGGATTTTAATTAAGCATTTTGTGAGCAATTATGAGCACTTATTCAATTTTAAATTGGTTTATTGGTTTTAAGTATAATAGACGAAAACAATTCTATATTTTAAATTATTAATAACTAATTAAATAATTAATTAATAGTGTGAGCAATTGCAGATTTGAATTGAGCATTTAGTGAGCAATTATAGGCAGTTATTCATTTAAAAAAAAGTTTATTGATTTTAAGTATAATAGACAAAAAAAATCTGTATTTTAAATTATTAATAACTATTTAAATAATTTATTAATAGTGTGAGCAATTACAGATTTGAATTGAGCATTTAGTGAGCAATTATAGGCAGTTATTCATTTAAAAAAAAGTTTATTGATTTTAAGTATAATAGACAAAAAAAAACTGTATTTTAAATTATTAATAACTATTTAAATAATTTATTAATTGTGTGAGCAATTGCAGATTTGAATTGAGCATTTAGTGAGCAATTATAGGCAGTTATTCATTTAAAAAAAAGTTTATTGATTTTAAGTATAATAGACAAAAAAAAATCTGTATTTTAAATTATTAATAACTATTTAAATAATTTATTAATAGTGTGAGCAATTACAGATTTGAATTGAGCATTTAGTGAGCAATTATTAGCGCATATTCATTAATCTGATCGGTGTAGGTAAAAACAATTTTGTATTTTAAATTAGTAATAAATAATTAGATAATTTATTAATAGTGTGAGCATTTGCGTATTTAAATTAAGCATTTTGTGAGCAATTATGGGCAGTTATTCATTTAAAAAAGTTTATTGGTTTTATGTATAATAGACAAAAAAAATTCTGTATTTTAAATTATTAATAACTATTTAAATAATAAATTAATAATGTGAGCAATTGCAGATTTGAATTGAGCATTTAGTGACCAATTATGTGCACCTATTCAGTAATTTGACCAGTCATACTTCCAAGCCAACTTCTTTGTGCTAGGATTTGGTGCATCTTTTTTTTTCATACGTCAATATTGAACACTGCTCAAACCTCAAATGCCTAGATACCAGGCCATAAACTCCAAAAAAAACCTTAAATGTCAAATCTCCGAATCAAATAAAAACAAACTCACGTGTCTTGATATTTATTGATTAATTTATTTTATTAAATTAATGTACAATTTTATAATTTAAAAATGGGTAAACGAAAATATGAAAGCGAGGGCAAGGAGTCCGTTAAGAAAAATAAAGTTACAGATAATCCGGAAAACTCGGAAGATGTAGATGAGCAAGAACAACCTCAAAATCATCAAATAATACATAACAAAAATTATTCACTGAAGCATGATTTTGATATGAAACATTTTAGAAAAGAATTAGCTTCAAAACAGGGGCAGACTATGGGTATGTAATTGTATTTTCTGTTTTGTATAATTGTCTCATCAATCATAAGCCTAATTAAACAGCCATTATTTAAAAAAAGTTTTATTATTTATTTAATATCAATTTTATGGGATTTAAGTAGATGTGTGTGTGTGATTTTGTTAATTTAAATCTAAATTATTTTGGAAACTGTGTTTGTGATTTCTCTGTTGATATTTATGTTAAGTTCAGGACCATGCTTTGAGGCATTATTCAGGATCGCCCCCTATGTTCAGCAGTGGACTTGTGAACGGCTATAATGATGATGATGATTTATGTTAACAAATGACACTTGATTTATTCAATAGTTAAATTAAATTTTGTATTCCATCTACATCTGAAGGACTTTTAATTGAAAGGGGTTTGGTAAAAAATTGTAAGAAATTATCTTAATTGGAGATTTTGTTTTAAATAATTGGTAGTTAAAAAAGTAACTATAGTTATTTACTTAGGCAGATGCTTTCATTACGAGGGTTTGCAGTCCTTGAAAATGTATACACAATATTATTATATACCAGCTCTTCCCCGCGATTTCGCCCGCATGTAATTTAGGATTTTAAATTTTTTGCGTGCAACCCTAATTCTTTTTCTAAAATTATAGTAGCCTAAGTTACTCCTTATAACATCAGCTATCTGCTAGTGAAAGTCCCATCAAAATCGGTCCAACCATTTTGGAGATTAGCCGGAACAAACAGACAGAGAGACAAAAAATTCAAAAATGTGTTTTTGTTATAACTACTGAACCGTCCATGCAGCGCGAGTGATTCTCGTCCCACCTGTCTGCCCATTAAAATGTCACTTTCTTCTTCTTCTTCCTTTATGGCGGTTACGATGAATTCGCCAATGACATGTTACATGCGAAAAGGTTCAATTGGGACACAAACTCTGCTTAAAAAGGGGAAATTGATAATACAAGAGATGGTAACAATGAATATTATGTGAATGATTTCGGTCAACTTATCTGTTGAATTACCTAAAACAAAAGACAGACAATGTTGTTAAAACAATACTAATGTGTTGTTATATGACAAACAAATTACACTTTAATATTGTTAGAATTAATAAAATCACATAAAATATTTGTGATTTTATTAATTCTAACAATATTAAACTAATTAAAGAGGTATTTGTGAAGATTAGAAGGGAGTTAAAGTCTATGGGATGGGGGATGTCAGGGGGCAGATAATCGTAAAGAGATGATGACAATTTGGTGCAGTTAAAAATTATGGTTAGTGTTTCCCTCATCTAAACCACATTCTAATGTCACTTTTTTTACGACCGCACAAGACTGTCTCTACAATAACGATTACTCCTGAAAAATTACTATACCTACATTCAAATAAAAAATATTTCCGAAAAGCTTAAAGAATTTAAATTTTAATTTTAGAAAAGAGAATTAGTCAAATTAAAAATAAAGGAAGTGAATAAAGCTTAAAAATGGGAATATAAAAAAAATCGTATTTATTTATTATTTTGAGTTTTACAAGAAAAGTATAATATTTACTGGAGACAATTATTTTATATTATAATAGTACATGATATTCCCTTTAAAATGACACCAATATCAATAATATGTTATATACTCAATATAGATAAATATATATTATTTACTCAATATAAATTTTAATAAATAAACAAAATTAAGTTTTAAAAATTTCTAGACATATCTCAACAGATATTTTGTTTATTAATGGCTATCAACGTGTTAATAGTGAAGTATTCTTTTATATTTAGCATTCATTTAACACAAAAAGCTGATTAGAATACATTTTAAACAATATATATTCAATAAAGGATGATAGTGTATGGTGATTAAAATTTCGAGTTAAATTATTATAAGTAAACATTTTAGAATTGTTGTAAGAATACAAATTTCTTAAAGGATATATCTTCACAATTAATTTGATGTACAATACCATTAGAAATAATGTATAAAACAGAAAACTTGCCACATTTTTTATTGAACTTCACACACTTTTTCACAAATAAAACAGTTCTCAAACGTAACCACCATTTTCACTTTTTTTTTCTAAATATCTTGTTGCCATTGCACAGATAAAATTCACTCTTACGGATGACAAATTTATTATAGCACCATTTATTATTTTCTAGTGTACTAATAACAGCTATCTTTAGGGTTGTACACGTTTAAACCGAAAGATGTTGTTTGGTGATGGTAGTCACCATGGACAGGTGAGGTAAGAATTTTTTTGGGGACTGTAGTCACCGTGGGCGGTTGAGTAGATTAGTATCGTATATACTTTCATATGCATGTTGTAAATAGCCGTTATTTTGACATTACAAATACAGAATACATTTTTATTTATTTGTATAGATCATTTATTATTTAAAACTTTTTATTCAACGGTTCAGAAAACAAGTCCTTCTCGGAGAAGAATGGGCAAGAAACCGGGGAGGAGGGGGGGTTAATATATAAAGTCGGCTAAAATAAGTGTAATTTATCATTAAATGAAAAATGATACAATGCTTTTCTTAAAAATAACAAGCATTAAAGTATTAGTATCTTGAAAAAGGTTATAGGACGACTGTCAAGGCCCTTATTGCTTATTAATACCAAATGAATATTGTTCCCATTCCAGAAGCCAATCCCCAAAGTAAAACACCTTAAAATATGATACTGTAAGCAGACTAACTTAGCTATTGCTTCCAATAACATTTTTACTATCATTATTGTCATATCTTTAAACTATATAAAGTTGTTTGTTAGTAAATTTCAAACAATGATTTTTATTACATATCTCTTCGAACATCTGGCATTTTATATGCTGTATAGCCAAGCTGCAGCTATATTAGAGTTGCAACATGAATGGGTCGACTCAACCGGGGGATATTTCTTTTTTTTTTTTTTTTTTTAAAAACGTTACCCCCACACTAGGATTTTCTCCTGTTTCGTGGAGGCAGTTTACAAACACAAATTTCACAAGGACAAACATCCAGACCCGGAACAATTATTTGTAGGCCATACAAATACTTGTTCCGTGCGGGGTTCGAACCTGCGCCCCCCAGCACAGCAACTCATTGCTAAGCCACTGCGCCACGGAGCTGTCGTTTGTCGTTTTTTTAAATACTTGTTTAGTTATGCTTAGTTAGGCTGAGTATAGTTCACCTATAGTTATTACCTAAATGAAATCCTGTTATGTTATATAAATAATTATACAACAGTGAGTAGAATGTTTCAAGTGCATTCATGTTATTAGTTTATTTGGTTTGACAGATAACAATTATATTACGATTTAACATCATAAGATATTTTTATTTAATATAGTTATAGATATTATGACGGTGCGTAGATTAGAGTACCAGGGTGACAGAGCCTTGCACAGTACTAGAAAAAATTACAATTTTCTCATGGATGAACCTACTTAGATAAACATTATATAATACATAATTTCATCCAAATTGTTAGAGCTCTTTCCGGGAAACTAATTACATAACATATAGAAAAATTGCTCACTTAAAGTATAGGATAATTTCATAGTACACAACTGTTAACTTTTTCAGTCTCGTACTGTTTAAATTTAAAAAAGTATAATATATGCCTTACAACTGCCAGGACATTACTAGTTCTCTCTGTCGTCATGACAATTTAGTGGAAAAGCTGTGCCTAAGGTCTCATGAAAAATATTTGACAAAGCATGTGGCTTTGCAACATGTTTTCATTTTTTTGCAGTAAGGGTAGCAAACAGCCAAGTAAATGCCAATACAGGGAGTAATATTATTGAATATTCAAATTCAAATTCAAATTCATTTATTGCCAGAATGTAGTACATAATATTATGATGTTGTAATTTATTAATGAGACCTTACATTCTACCATGATAATGGTGTGCAATATCTACAATATACAAAGAAAATTATTATTACATTTTAACGAGGTAAAATATTTAGGAAAAATAATTATGTAGTTGTTTAAAAATATTTTAGCGTCAAATTTTTAAGTTACAATAAATATATGTCAAAAATTGAATTAATTAGGTATTTGATTATATATAAATGTATAGTATTTAAAAAAAAAATTAAAAAATGTCAAAAAATAAAAATAAAATAAATATTAAATGTTAAAAAAAAATTATAAGTTTCTATTTACTTCACCATTATTTTACATTTCTTTATAATTCATATATTCGTCTAACCTATAAAAACATTTTGTTGCCAGCCATTCTATTATTTGGAAAAATGTAGTATTTTATTTGATTTGCCTTTGTATAAATTCAAAACACATGTAAAAAGCATCATACCATTAACTTATTACAAACTAGCTGTTCCCCGCGACTTCGCCTGCATGTAATTTAGGTTTTTAATTTTTTTTGCACAGAACCCTAACTCTTTTTCTTAAATAAAAGTGGCCCAAGTTACTCCTTATAACATCAGCTATCTGCCAGTGAAAGTCCCATCAAAATCGGTCCAGCAGTTTCGGAGATTAGCTGGAACAAACAGACAGACAAAAATTTTAAAAATTGTGTTTTTGTTATAAGTACCGTATATACTTTCATATGCATTTAGTGAAAAGCTGTTATTTTGACATTACAAACAGACACTCCAATTTTATTTATTTGTATAGATATGTAACATAGTTATGTCATCCTCATTTTTATAATTCCATCCCATCACATTTCCAGTGCTGAATATAGGCTACACCTAAATTACCAGGCAGTGAACCTGAACCAACTGCATCTCTCTTTATCTAGCTAGGGTCACCTTAAACAACACTTTTTTAATGTGCTGTTGATTTAAGCCATATGTTTTTGCTGATTATTGATTTATGTTTTTTCTTTTCAGTTTTGACACAGTTCTTGAATGTTTGTCTAAATCCAGATAATGAGGTTGATTACATTTTAGAGTACCTGAAAGTTGGTGGTAACTCACATGAAATACTTCGGCAAATCTCACAAGAGAACAAGAAAAACCTCACTCTAGCAACTCCAGCCTTTCATTTATTTCATCTTATCATTCTAAAGGTGCAGTCGTCATTGCCTCATCTGATTACAATAACAGAAGAAGCATGTCGATATTTTCTTAATACATTTATACCAACGGTTGAGATAATGATAAGCGAAAGTTCGGGTCCACGGCATAGAAAAATCGTTCTTAATCTTCTCACATCAATGGTAACACTGAATTCTGAATTGGGTGTGGAAATTCTTAATCAAGTGCCATTGACACCTAAACATTTGCAATATATTATTGAGAAGCCGAATTATAAGGAAAAGGATAATGTTAGAACTGCATTTGTGCATTTCATGACATCATTTATAGTAGAAGGTCATCTGCCACTTATAAAAGCGTTACTGGAGAAACAAGGCCTCCTTGGACTTGTTATACCAGGGTTAGTTCATGATGATGCCGAAGCAGTGCTTATGTTTTTAAACATTCTTAAAAAGAATATTATTGACAACTCCTTGATATCAAAGACATTGAAGCTTAAAACATTCAGTCAACAAGTGTTACATAATATGTTTAAAGTGTATGCATGGAAAGGACCACCAGAAATGAGTATTGAACTTAGAAACAAATTACGTCCTGATATAATTAGTCTATTAACAGATATCTTGCTCACATTATTCACATCTCATAGACTTGGTCTCTATTTCATTGATAGCTCATTAGGAACAACAGATGCCAATAAAAATCAAAATTTATATAAATCCATACTTAGCTTAAAAAGACCTTGGGAAAATGAAAGTGAATGTGAAGTAATCCTTCAGATAATTTACAAATGCCCAGATTTGCACAGATCAATCATTAATGTTGTTGAACAAAGCTTTCAGCCTCAACATTCTCCTATATGGGAAAAGTGTATTGAATTCGTTATGAAACTGATGGATAAACTAAAACCTGAGGATATAATTCATAGATTAAAAAATCTTACACCTTTGCAGACAGCAAATTTTGTAAGATTTGTGACACTACCTGTTCCCTTGTTAAAACACATTCAACCAAATATTGGAAAAGATAGAACAATTTCTTTATATTGTGCTAAAGTGTTAGCGAAGATGTTGCAGATGTTAAGGCGTTATATGCAAATTTTGGACATCGACGATTCTAATACACGTGTCGTAGAGCTGAAAAATAAATTGGAATATTTTCTTCCGAAACATGTCCCTCCTCCACTTACAATAGTTTCATTGATCAAAGATGTCATTAATGGTTCAAAGGACGAGGAAGATGTACGTGATTATCATTTACCTAAGTTTGATGATGCTGATGCATTGTTGATTCTTGTAGAGTTATTGCTTCTTTACAATGACCTACATCCTGCATTCTTTGGATCACTTGAAGGAAATATAGATATGAAAAGCATTCTCGATTACTCAATGAAATTGTCCAGTCAGAAAGTATCACTGTTGAAATTCAAGATTGTTTCGTTATGGTTAATGCTAGATAATTCTGCTGTGTCGACAAAAAATCCAATGTTTAAAGACCTGTTTCTTATAATGTTAGATGTTTACACTAATGAAACCGACAATACTTGGATGGAAGCTAAAGATACGCTACAAATATTTTTTAAAAACACAACAGTTTTTGAAGGTGACGAGGATGAAATACATCTGATTTTGCACACATTGCGTAATGTAAAAGTGAATCCAATATCGCTTATAGGTGATGTCATTGAATATGCAATTGAAAACAAAAAGGAACTAACTGAATTTGTCCGTAACCAGATTATTCATTTCGAAATATCAGATGCGAGTAAAGAAGAAAATTTAGATAAATTGTTTAATGATCTAATGAAAAACAAAAGCAGTGATGATAATGTATTCTTGGAGAACAAGATTCCTTCGCCATTCATTGTGGGCTGTATACAATATACACAAAATAATAAGGAAGCAAAGAAAAATTTAAAACAATTTTTATCTCTTTATGTTGCTAACTTACTTCACTGCAATTATTCGCCAGAGATGACGGAAATTCTTATGGAAGATTCAAAATTGGATGTAAGAAACTATGTTGCTAGTTGGGTTGGAGAACCAATGCCCTTATCAGAAACAATTGTAGGTAAAGATAACATCTTACACAATCTATCCCGGTCTCTTATAGGAAAAGAAGACTTGACACTTAAAGATGTATTTACATTTTTAGAAGAGTCATCTGAAGAAGACAAAGATTTAGTGATTTCTAATATTCCACTAAAGATAATTAACACCGTTGATAGCTCCGAATTGTTGATATGGACACAGTATCTTATATTCTGTCTTGTAAAATTAACCCAGATGAATAAATTATCTGAATCTGAAGAAGAAAAACTTAAAATATATATTGATTGTATAATTGCAACAGGCAAAAAACATCACATGTTGCAATTTTGTCGTAATGTTATTTTGAATATGTTCAAAAACTCGCATGTTCTTAACATTTATTCACCAATAGACTTAAATAAAAGCGAATCAAACATTATTGCGACAAAATTTCTTCTATATGTAATATCTCATCATTCAGATATTATCAACAATTTAGAGCAAAAACAAAATATTTTAATACCTTATAAAATGAAAAACTACAAAGAAGTAATGAAATCGCTAATTAAGATAAAGAAAAGAAAACATATAAAATGTGATCACACTGTAAAAATCCTTAAAGAAGTTGGTTTACGTAAGGAAGACGATATTTTGATTTTAGATCATATATTTAATACAGATCTCATTGCTTGTGTTAGAGATGACAAAGAACCGAGTCTAATGCTAGAAGTGTTACGCGTAGTTATCGAAAAATATGCAATATCTTTGACATTAGATCTTCCACAAGACATGTTGCAAAAATCTCTTAATATGTACACTCAACTTTTGAAAATATCTGAGGTTTCAGTAAACTTAAGCGAAATTGAAAATGCTTTAATCGCTTATTTCGAAAATAAACCGCAATTTGTAACATGCGTGACGCAAGAAAACTTTTCAGCTTTTTTCCATGCAAACACGATAAGAAAATCTACTTCGCATCTAGCATCGGTGTTGTTGAAATTTAATGACAAATTCTGTAATATTTTTAAAGAAGAGATCAATAGGCACGAAATTATAAGCCAAAGAGAGTTGACGTTGCCTCTTGGGAATGCTATTTTGAATCATAATATTTTCTTATCAAAAAACAAAGAGTTTATGTCAAGAATTTTTGACGAATACAAATCTAATATTAATAAATATCTGGAAAAACCACATAAAGCAGGACAAATTTATCTAACCACTTGGAAGTTTATAAGAAAGTTAATTATCGAAAGTATGGATGTACAGGATTGTAAGAAAATGTTTACTAAGAGCCACAAATTTGAGGCGGTTGAAATAGGACATGTTAACTTATTTCAATCGGCATTTTTAAAAATATGTTTGTTTGACGAAGAATTGAAAAAGGATTATCTTATTAATTACTTTTTATCGATGCTCCATTTAATAACAACTGCTATTAAAGAAAATGTAGAAGTAAATGTCTTAAATGAAATTGTGTACAATATATTACAAGTGACATATGCTTGCCATTCTATAGCAGGCTTTCACATCGAACAGAAGGAGGAGTTCGTTAAATTAACTGAGAGTTCTGTATGGCAAAATTTTTGCAAGTCTGTTTTAAAAGATTCCTTGAAAGTCAAAACCGCGAATCAAGTTGTACAATCTGGACCAAAACTTTTATGCCTACTGACAAAGCTCGTAAAATTGTTTTATCCGAATAATCATGAAGATATAATCACCATTTTCGATATGGTAACATCGCACTCGGAGTTTTTGAATGTAATGCTAAGTCATCACAGTCCTGATATCAAATCAAGATTACTCGAGATCCTTTACGTTTTAATATCGCTCAATAAATCTGTAATGAAGTCACAGCAGATACCAGTTTATTTGAGCGCATACGGTGCCACAAGAAGTTCCTGCGACAGACTTATCTTGTCCATTTTATATTTCTACGAGAGTAATGAACAACCTGTGAACGAATATAAACCTTATGTTTGGGGAGATTCCGCTGCAAATTACTATGCTGTACGGAAAAACAGAACTTCATCTTTATGGGGACATCCGACCCCAAATCAAGTGTTAAATTTATTTGATAAAGATTTAATCGAAAGGACTGTCAGAAATTTTCCTGTAACACAAAAATTGGACTACTTTTATGAATTGCCTCAAAACTATACTGAAGATTCGTTCAAAATACTTTTGAGTGAAGGATCTAATGAGATCAATGTTAATTCTGTAAAAGATAACGAAGCTGCAATTAAGATAATACTAGAAAAACATCGGCTTGATAAACTCCTGCACGAATTTAATGAAAATGACATCATGGGTCTTTCTCATGCAGATTCTGATACAGAAATATACGATCCCATCTTTGTGTTTTCTTTACTAAGCCATCTTTTGGCGCCTGGATCGGTGGCCTCTTGCTTCAAGCTGCTGCGTATTGGGTTGTTATCTGTTCCGGTGATGGCGCTGAGTTCACATTGTCCTTTAATGCGATCTGCGGCGTATCACGTTCTTCATAGATTCTGCATGCTACTTGAAACTGAAACGTAAGTTATTTTATTCACTTTGCAATTAAAGAAAAGAAGTATGACTTCACTAAAATACTTTAAGCTTGTTATTTATTTGAGTCAGTACTTTAATACAGCTTATAACAGTTTACTGAATATATTTTTTATTCCCTATGTCACTTCCACAATTAAAATAAATCTAATGACACCCCACATGTTAAAATCCATCAAGCCGTTTAGAGGAAAGAATGCCAATGAAATAGACATATACATTCTCTCGAAAAACATTACCCTCCTGGGGCAGTCTGGTAAAAATATGGATTGATAAGGAAGACTGCAGTTCTTTTATATAAGGGGGAGTTGCATGCCTTAATTCTTCCCTCCACTTTCCACCATCGGATAACCAGTCGGTGAATCTCAACTTTTTTGAGGTTGATATCCGATATTCTACGCATTCGAACTATTTGGCCCAGTTTGCAACGTCCGCTCTTTTGCTGTACACATTACAGCAAAAGAGTAGAATAATCTCGTCCTTCTTTCGGTTACAGTAAACAGGTTTTTGTTACTCTAAGTCAGTGCGATTTACCATCTACGGCTTCATCACCGCTTACAGATTGGATTGTAGTCAAGCACTGGTTTATAAAAAGTAAAATAAGTTTTTTATGTTATTGCACATTTTAATCAATAATTGAATGTTTGTTTTAGGAAACACAAAAACGACAAACTGCTCCTAACCGATTTCATCACTACGTTGCGCCTAAGTCTGTCGACAGCTATTACCGCTCAAGCAAACGGCATCGATGAAGTTGCTGATGTAAGAAATCCTCGACTTCCAGCTGTTGGTGCCCTTTATCTAGCCAGAGCTTTGATGGTGTCTACTGCTCCTTTCGACCCTCTTTACAAACCAGTGAACAATTTCCTAATAGCAAAGCAGTTTGTTGATCTTACTACCGTGCCAGATTTCCTCAGTTTATTCCATGATAGTGACGTAGAATCGGTGGACAGAAGGCAATGGATACTTGATGTGATTAGAGATGGAACCAAGACTATGACCGATGTCAATGTTGTTTTCAAAAGCATGTGTCTGAAGATGATTATGGACTTCTATTCTACTGTGTTGTGCGATAGGAAAACTAAGCAGAGAATTATAAGTGCCCTGAATTCTTTAGTGACAGTGCCGAGAGCTTTTGAAATATTAGTAGAAGGTTACGGATTTTTGTCGTGGTTGCATTATACTGTGAGACATATTTGTAAAGACGACAAATATGTTGTGGTAGAAATGTTCAATTTACTCAAGAACATGCTGTACAGTCTGCGTTTAGTGTCATTTGCAAAGTATATGAAAAATAATTTTAATAATGTAAGAACTTTTGACGCCGCCGATGTGAAAACAGATAAAGACGTGGAATTTAAGATTTTGCTTATAGCTATTGAACTAGCAAATCATTTAGAAGGATTAGAAGTTGATGAAGTACAGCAATATGTTAGTCTTTATAAATTAGTGTCTAAAAAGGCTATTAAATTTTTAACAAAAAGACAAATATTGAATTTGATAAACAAATGTGTCTTGTTATTAAATATTGATGAAAGTGTTGTACTGTTATCGCGTGCTGTTGCTAATGGAGTTGCTATGTTAAAGAGTAAAACTATAGAACATTTAGAAGAGACGTCTATAGAGAATTGTATTATTAAAGATTTATCCCTTTTAGTGCAAACATATTTAGCTTAAGAATATCATAAGGCTGTTTTGTACATAGATTATGTTGATATTGTCATTAAATATATTTTTTATTTTACTTCCTGTTTTCTTCAATACAAACCAGAAATAGTTGTGATTTTTGTTACTTGACGAAATTCGTTTATAAAATAGATTTGGATACTAACAATACTTTTATAATAGTTTTAACTTCAGCATTTGAACATTTTCTCTTTTTCTCTCTTAATTTTTTTTGTATTTGAAATATTTAAAGAAATTGGAAATACTCGTATAATGAGGGGGTCATTGTAGAAGCGTGCTCGTCGCGACTCCTGCCAGCCCTTTTCAGGGCTGCAATTCTACTCAGCTGCGCACCCATGCCAACGAGGGTTAGGGCGTCCTCCCAAGGCGACGCACACCAGCTCGTCCCCGTTGGTTTGGAATGTAGCGCGCAAAGCGGCGATGGGGACCGCCACCCGTCACCCACAGCCCGACACGGCGGAAGGTGGAGGACAGAGTGCAGAGTTGGCACGTGGAATGTTAGAGGAGGCATGAGAGATAATACGAATTAGTTGATCGAAATAATGAAAGAAAGAGAATTAGATGTCGTGTATGTATGTCGGAGACCAAAGGGAAGGGCAGTGGTACTGAAGAGCTCCCTGGCGGGGCGTTAGCTCTATGGTCCGGAGTCCCGGAGAGCGAGAACGCCTGCCAGGGAGTGGGGGTGCTGCTGTCTTCTCGGTTGGTCGATGTTATGACTGAATATAAGGTTGTGAACTCAAGACTTCTCTGGGTTCGCTTTAAATTGGGACTGACGAAGTTATTCCTTTTGGCTGTTTATGCGCCGGTAGCTTCGTCGTCCAGGGCTGAGCTGGAGGAGTTTTGGGAGAATGTAAGGGAAGTTCTAGATTTGGCTAGGGGAAACGAAAGAATTGTTGTATGCGGTGATTTGAATGGATGGGTTGGTACCGCTCGACCAGGGTACGAGTCGGTACTTGGAAAGTTTGGCGATAAAAGGGTTAATGATGCTGGCAAGCTTATACTGGCGGTGTGCAAGGAAAAGGGTCTTCTTGTGACAAACACTATGTTTAATCACAAGAAAATCCATATGTATACTAGAGAACGAAAGAATGAGAGAAGTATGATCGATTTGTTCCTGGTGGATGACCGACTGCGAAAACAGGTGATGGATACGCGAGTGTTCAGGGGTGCTGACCTGGGAACGGATCACTATCTAGTGATTACTAGATTTAGGGGTCTGTTCGCGGGTTGGCGCTATCGGACGGCAGTAACAGAACCACAGTCGGTCTGTCGCATCCGAAGCTGGAAGCTTCAGGAAGCGGATACTAGGGACAAATATCATGCGAGGGTAGCCGAAAGCTTGACACCATCGATGGCAGAAAAGAATGTGTAGAAAGAACATGGGAGAACCTTAGGGATGGAATGGTAAGTGCAGCGGAAGAAGTGTGTGGAATAACAATAAAAAGAGGTAGTAGTAAAAGAAGAGATGCATGATGGAATGATGAAGTGAAAGAAGAAGAAGAAAGCATGGTTAGACTACTTGGCCTCTAGTAATAATAAGGATATGAGAGAGAAGATGAAAGAAAGATATAGGCTGCAGAAAGTTCACACGAAAGCATTGATTGAGGAAGTGCGTGAAAGGTGTAGAATGGAAGCGGTCGAAAGTTTGTCTCACAACTTTAAGGAGAACTCCAAACTCTTCTGGAAAGAAGTTGGAAGGACCCGAAGTGGTGCAACGGCCTTAAGAACGAACAAAGTGCTTTCGAGAACTAATGACGTCCTCTCAGAAAAATCGGACGTCATGCAGCGATGGAGCGAATTTTATAGAAAAATGTATGCGTGTGATGATCTTAGTGAGGGATCCGGGGATGACGCCGTGACTGGTACGTCAGACCCGGACCTCGATGACACTGAGGTCATCAGTATGAAAGAGATTGAACGTGCGATTCGAAGTTTGAAATGTGGTAAAGCTGCGGGACTAGACAGAGTTACTGCTGAAATGGTCAAGTATGGTGGGCCTCGCGTCTGGGACAACTTTCATCTGCTGTGCAATTTGTGCTGGCGGACGGGGGATGTCCCGGATGATTGGCGATCCGCAGTCATTGTGCCTTTATATAAAGGTAAAGGTTCACATTTTGACTGCGGGTGCTATCGGGCGATCAGCTTGACCAGTTTAGCAAATATATAATAAAGTTTACTATATATACTATATATTTATATAAAAATACTATATAAATATATAATAAGGTTTTGACACGTAGGATGCAAGAGAAATCGGAAAGATTTCTATGGGAGGCACAATGCGGATTTAGACCTGGAAGAGGATGCATGGATCAAATGTTTTTTCTCCGCATGATCACGGAAAAGCTTCTGGCTGCTAACCAGAAGATTTTCTGTGCTTTTGTGGATCTTGAGAAAGCATTTGATAAGGATGTAAGGAAGAAAATGTGGAAACTGTTGCCGGGGTATGGTGTGGATGGTTGATTGCTAAGGTAGAGCCTTCCGCGTTTCGTCTGGTGAGTGCAAGTGACCGGAGGCCCAATTCCCCCCCCCCCCCCATAAACATGGTAGCGGAATTACGTCATAAACTACCCCAGGAATGTACCAGTACCCCTGGAGAATCCCTCGCTGAGCATCCACGACCATGCTATTCCACTCCTGAGCGTGGGTGCTCAGGCTGCCCCGCGTATTCTGGGGGGGGGGGGGGGGCAAAATTCCGCTCAACACAATAACTGCTCGGGGCAAACTGAGCAACAAGACCAAGGCGACCCCTGCCACGCTATCCGTGAATTTCTGCAACATCAGGGGACTTCACTCGAACCTAAACGCCGTCCACTACCATCTTGAGACGGTGAAGCCGGCCTTGCTCTTTCTGACCGAGACGCTGGTGGCCTCTCCGGCTGATACTTCGTATCTCTCCTGCCCGGGGTACAAATTGGAGCACTCCTTTGTGCCTCGGGCTGGAGTTTGCGTGTATGTCAGAGAGGACATCTGTTCTCGACGCCTCGGCAGTCTTGAAGGTTCGGACCTGTCCATCCTTTGGCTACGCGTAGACAGCGACGACAGTATAGGTCCCATAGCGGTAATGCCGAAACAGACCGACTCATTGACCACGTCCAAATGGCTACAGATTCCTTGCTACAACAGGTCCCATCCGCAGAGATCGTGATCCTTGGCGATTTTAACGCCCACCACGCCGAATGGCTCGGTTCACGTTTAACCGATCATGCGGGGAGATCTGTTTATGACTTTGCCTTGGCATATGGTCTGACACAACTGGTTACATCGCCTACGCGGATTCCAGATGTTGAGGATCATACACCTTCCCTGTTGGACCTTCTGCTGACCTCTCATCTGGACGGATATCAGGTTTCCGTCGATGCCCCTCTTGGCTCTTCGGACCATTGTCTGATTCGGAGTGTGGTGCCACTCACGCTCCCCTCGCGGTTGCGTTCTGCAGGTTGCCGCCGTGTTTGGCATTACAGGCCGGGATTGGGACGGAATGCGGTCTTTCTTTGCTTCTTACCCATGGGGGCGGGTTTGCTTCTCGCCGGATGATCCCAGCGCTGTTGCTGACTCTGTCACTGATGTGGTGCTACAGGGAATGGAACTATTTATTCCATCATCTGTGGTACCCATCGGAGGCAGATCTCAGCCTTGGTTTGGTCGCTCCTGTAAGACTACTTTATGCAGTAAACAGGAGTGTTATCAAGCCTGGGCTGCGGCTTCGGCGACTCGGGATGTAAACACTAGCATACTTAAAAAGAAGTATAACTTCGCCTCCAGGTCCTTCAAAAGAGTTATTGCCAAGGCAAAGTCAGAGCACATAGGCAGAATTGGCGAGAAACTAGTTCGCCTTCCTTCGAGAACCCGTGCATTCTGGCAGGCGTGTCACTTTGTAAAAATCTGAGGTATGGAAAATGGTGGCGCGATTTTCAAATTTGTTCGCATTACTCGTGGGGTATTAAGGTTTAAGAGTTTGCAGTGTATATACTCAACTTATTTATTGAACTATAAGATGTGGGGTATTGAGGTTTAAGGGCTTGCGATTTATTTATATGGGGTTTGTAGTAATATGCGATTTATTTCCTAATTTCAGCTATGGAATTCCATACCTTGAAAAACTTGAGGTATGGAGTGCTCCATACCTTCCATAGTGGAAGTGACACCCCTGCATTCTGGTTTCTCGCCAAGGCTGTCCAAGGGAATTTCTGTAAGCCATCACTACCATCTATGCACAGGGAGGACGACTCACTGGCCCACGACGCAAAAGAGAAGGCCGACCTTTTAGGCTCCCTTTTTGCGTCCAACTCGACTGTTGATGACGGGGGGAACACACCTCCGACCATCCTGCGGTGTGAGTGCTCCATGCCGGATGTGCGGTTCTCACAGCGCTCGGTTCGCAGAGCACTCCTCTCCCTTGACATCCACAAGTCGAGTGGGCCTGACGGAATCCCCCCAATTGTGCTGTGTACGTGTGCTCCGGAGTTGGCACCGGTTCTAACGCGTCGTTTCCGGTACTCCTACTCCCTAGGCGTAGTCCCGAAATCATGGAAGACAGCTTTTGTCCACCCGATCCCTAAAAAAGGCGACCGCTCAGACCCGTCCAATTACAGGCCTATCGCCATCACACCCTTGTTCTCCAAAATAATGGAATCCGTTATAAACTGCCACCTCATGCGGTACCTTGAGGATCACCAGCTGATTAGTGACCACCAGTACGGTTTTCGTCGGGGTCGATCAGCTGGTGATCTTCTGGTCTACTTAACTCATAGATGGGCGGAGGCAGTAGAGTCCAAGGGGGAGGCATTGGCCGTTAGTTTGGACATTGCGAAGGTTTTCGATCGGGTTTGGCACAAAGCGCTTCTTTCGAAGCTCCCTTCCTATAGGCTTCCCGAGAAATTATGCAATTGGATCACCAGCTTTCTTGCAGATCGGAGCATCAAGGTCGTTCTAGACGGTGCATGCTCCGACTACAAGCCTATTAACGCTGGTGTTCCATAAGACTGCGT